TGCTACTTTCTCTTGAATGCAATGAACGTTTCTCTTCAGATTTTGTACAAAGATAGTATACCAAGGGATACATTTGTACCAACATTAATTTTGTGATGCAATTCAATATGGCTGGCTGACGCCCCATTTTTATGTAAAAGCACTATAAATCGTCATTTTTACATGTCCGGAGCTGTTTCTCGGAGATGACTAGGCCAATTTGGATCAAAGTAGGTATGATGATCGTACATATTGGGCTATAGCTGCATGTCTAATTTTTTCTGTGATTCAATCTAATATAAATGACTGGTGGCCATTTTGTTTTTCATGATAGCAATGCCTACTTTTCTATGAATGCAATGAACATTTCTGTTTAAATTTTGTACAAAGACAGTATACCAATAAATACATCAACATGAACATTATTTTTGTAATTTGATCCAATATGACTGCCCAATGTCCAATTCTCGTGTAAAAGCACTAAATCATATTTTTTTACAAATCCATCTCCTATTAATGGTTTCAATCTAATATCAATGGCTTCATCAGCATCAAATTGATATGTCAGATCACAAAATTTTGGACGGCGACTGTGTCATTAACAGTGACTTGTTATTGATAGTTTATCCCAGCATATTTTTTGTTGAATCTATAAAAGACTCGTTGTCGCTTTGTATGAAATATTCATTATGTACAGTTTTGTTAATTTGAAGAGTTTTTATTTTGCTGTTATTTGCGAAAACCACAAGTCATTTTTTTACCTTGCCCGTAACATCAAAGATGGGAGGGAAAGGTAATTTTAAGGGAAACATTTCTGTCCGGCGTTGTTGTCATCGTCGTCGTTGTTGTCGTCGTCGTTAATAATTGTCATTGTGTGCAAAATAACTTTACTAATTCTATTCCAAACTTTATCAAACCTTATTCATCAGTATAAAAGTATAAAGTCTTCCCTGAGTATGAACAACAGATGTCCTGTATGACAAAATTGAGAAAATCTGATAACATATTTCGACTGTTTCTACCTGACTGATCGCAGGTGATACAAATTCAAAACTCACTGATCTCAGTGGAAATGTGCATTGTTGTATGTGTTCAATGAAGCAATTCATTTATCTTGTAATAATATCCTTGGTAATGTATCTCCCAAATCCCATGGGAATACTAGACTGTATTTCAAACCAACTCATGGAGAGAGTTTTTGGCACAGTCTGATATACATTTGCAAACCTAAAATCTCTTCAGAAAACAAGATGTCAAAAAATCAATATAAGCAATCATGTGAAAATCATTGAAAAGAAAATTGTACTCAAAAATAGGTATTCTGTATTTGACAAACAGTTCATTCGACAAATGAAAATTCACAGGAATGTGGGTCTTCGGGTGATGTGGTATAATGCACAATGAGTGTCTTGCTATGATCAGAAAACAATGTTTCGCTATTGGACGAGTTACTAATAGGATCTGACTAAACTAAATAGAACCACGTAATACATGAAAACTAGTTCACTGCTGATTTCATGTTTGCGTATGAATCATCAATTTACATATAATTATCTACCGTACGCTTTGTCATGGCAACATCAATTTCAGGAGGAAACATACATAGATATTGGCTGCCATGTTGCAGCCAAATGGTAGTGTTTCATCTAAGCGTTTTTTTATGCTTCACAATTACGCATATTGCTGGCATATGGAACCTCTTGTATGGTTGTTTAGTGGGTTTGTCATGTTTCACAAGTGTACTAAAAATGTAGGTATACCATTTTATGTTCACCAATATACTCCGTCAACATATTACAAACAACAAGATTATGGTTTTCTGCTTCGTATTGATCAATCGTTCAATACTCAAATGTATACTCATGAGAAGGTAATTGGCGTAAT